CCAAAGTGAGCATTCCCAAAATAGCTGCTTTCTGGCATCCAGTTGCCAGACACCAAACCTAGGACTGGGATTTCTGTCCTAGAAGTGACCACTGCGTGTGTCCCGGTTGGGTGTGCGTGGGCAGGGAGGAAGGTGCGGGGCTGGGCTGCAGCCTGGGAGACCACCTTCCAGCAGGCATCCTTGAACACGGTGCACCATCACACCCTGGTCTTCCCTGCGCCCTACTTCTGGGCTGCAAATGCTTGGGCTGGCAGGGAGCATGAAGCAGGACACTGAGTCCTGGCATGAACCCTGACAAGTCTGCAATAATCTTCCCTACCCTGCAGTGCTTGTGCACAAGCCTCACCGCTGTGACGGCAAGGGGACTGTCCCTCCTAGGTGCTCCAAATGAAAAGGCTGTCTGGGTCAGACAGCACTTGCTATTTGCAGTAGGCCTCTGGTGGAAGAAGCTTTTCTTACTGTTTCATCCAGTTGCTGTTCTTAGTTTTTGAAAACAGTGGAAAGGGAAGATCTTCATGTTTTGTACAGTTCTGCTTTGAGTAATGCGCCTGTTCCTGTCCTGCTTCCCTGCCTCCAAACTTAAACTCTGGATACAAAGAAACTGGCCAGGGAAGGAACAAGTGCATCTGGGTTTGCTTGAATCAGAAAAAAGTCAGGAAGAGTTTTGCTTAGGGTTTGTGTTTTTTTTTTTTTTAAAAAAAAGGCAGAGAAAGAAAAAGAAAAAAACCACCTTATTTGTTTTCTAGTTTAGAAGTCCTAGGAATGTGAAGTCTCTGGTTTTGCTGGTAGACAGCTGGAGATACAAATTTGCAGCTTTTTCAGCAGAAGACTGAGAGGGGATTGAATCAACATGTACAAATATCTCAAGGGTGGATGTCACGAGGATGGAGCCAGACTCTTCTCGGTGGTGCCCAGTGACAGACAAGGGGCAATGGGTACAAACTGAAACATAAGAGGTTTCAGTTGAATATGAGGAAAAACTTCTTTACTTTGAGGGTGACGGAGCACTGGCACAGGCTACCCAGGGGGGTTGTGGAGTCTCCTTCTCTGGAGATATTCAAAACCCTCCTGGATGATGTCCTGTGCAACCTGCTCTAGGTGAACCTGCTTTAGCAGGGGGGTTGGACTAGATGTTCTCCAGAGGTCCCTTCCAACCCTTGCCATTCTGTGATTCTCTGAGTGATTCTGTGATTCAGTCCTTACTTGGAGAGGCAGAAACACTGAATCATTTACGAGACAGCCATCCTTCTAACTGTCAGGCATGTCTGTTGAATAGATGCAATCAAAAATGAATGCAGTTAGTGTTGCAAATGTGGTGAAGTCACTTTGTCTATGCTTTGCTAGTATTTTGTCATCTTAGCAGAAGGATACCCATTCTTGGGTCACTGGCAGAATTCTTCTGGTTAATCAAGCTCAATAAAATCAGAATTTTAAATGCAGTTAAAAAAGGAAGGAGGCAAGGAACACCATAGCTTTTTTTGAATTGTTTCTACCCATTTTTGGTAATGAGTCAATGCTGTAAGCATACACGCAAGAGGTGTGTGTGTTGGGAAAACACACAGCTACACATCACAAAGCTATTCTTTCTTTCACACAATTCTTTTAAAACAGGCTGGGAGCTTTTGTCTTTCTAGATCTTGTGAGTGAGGCGCTATCAAGGTGTGCTGACGCTTGCAGTAGAGACCTGTGATAAAAGCCCAAATGTTTCAGAGGCCAGTATCTGGGGTGGGAGAGGAGGAGGATCTTCCTTGTCTGTCAGTCTGGAGACAATAGCTAGCATGGTATTTTAATTTCTAAGATGCTTAGACAAGGAAACACAAACTCTGTTTAGTGTGTCCTTAACAGTGGAATGAGCGCTTCCCTCTTACTCTGCTCACCACTTGGGTATCCTAATCGCATCATGTCCCAGCAGCACAGCAGCAGTCGTCACATCTGGACAGTATTCCACAGCAGCTTGAGTGCCTAACCACAAAAATTAGTGATATAGAGGGACTGTGGTTTTCCCTTCTGGCCAGGTACTTGTCATAGCTCAGTGGATGATCTGAGCGGGTCTGCCATGGCCCAGGGGAAGCAATTTAATAACCTTTCCCTTAGAAGTGGTGAAAACATCTTTATTAAGCAGGGATATCCCCTGCATTGTTTGAAGTAAGGATAGCTGTGGTTCCAGAGATCAGAGCTCCCCTGAGGCTTTCCCCAGGTCTGTGCTCTTGTCTCCTTCCCCAGCAGCTTCCAACCTGGGTAATCACCCTCCAGCTCCCTAAATTCCCTGTGCTGAAGTGCTTCTGTGGATTGTGTTCCTCTTCATTTTCTGTTGCTGCATGGGCCACCTTGCAATGCCACAGTGCAGAAGGGCAATTCTTGAATGCCCAAAGCGCCGCAAAGAACATGCGGAAGAAAATATTCTTGGAAGATCTATTAGCCTACTAGTCTTATCTTCTAGTTCCTTGGAAAAGTTTCTAGTCTGCTTACAAGCAAGACAGACCATGGTATCCCACTGATGAGCCCATTCTTTCTCTGAGGAGGAGAGGTATTTCAGTAACTTACAGGCTGCCTGTTGGAAAGAGGCAGTTTCAAAGGTTCTATTCAAAACTTGCTTTAACAGTGTGCTGCTGTATAGCTTGATGCTCCATAGCAAACTAAGCTTTATTCCTTGCATGAAAATTTCAACAAGCAAAAGCCACCTGCTTTTTCCCCTTTTCACACTGCATTTGCTCTAGTTTGTCGCTATTGAGCGCTTGCAAGATGTGGAGCTGCTGCTACTTAGTTTTGTACAGTTACGTCTGGGGGCTGGCTTTCTGTCTGGTGGGTGAGGCGGATGGATGGATGCTTGATGGCCTGTAGCTTGGTATTGAAGTTAGTAGGAATTGGTTCATACCCGCTCTGAGAGCAAATCAAAGGAGCGGTGGGATTTTAACTGGTATTACAGAAGGTGCTTTGGAGGGGTTTGGATTTGTTGCCACAGGATGGGTGGGTAACTCCATTTTCTGAATTATCATATGTTGAACAATTGCATAGTTTTGCATGCTAATTTAGGAGGGGAAGGGAGAAGGACAGGTGACAGAATGTGCTCCTTGAGGTTTGTGTCTTGGAAAAGTTTGGAAATAAGGATTATTCCTATGATAATAATGGTGCTCTCTTTCTCTCTCTCTCCCCTCCTCCCCCTGCTTTCATTTTCCTCCTGCAGCCTCAGGAAACCTCCGGAGTTCCCCCCACCCTCTCTGCAGAGGACGAGCCCCTCTGGCTCCCACTCAAACCCCCGAACTCTAGGGAACAACAGGCTGTTTTGATCCCCGAGCCCCTCTGAGGGAGCGTAAGCTCACATAGGTTTCTGACCAGAGAGACACTCTTTAGCAAGCACTGAGACGTCTGCCTGCAGACATGTACACTCAGGAGCACGTGAAGCACACGCGTGAGACTGCAGTGTGACACTCCGGCACCTCCCACCCCACAATTGTTCACCAGAGCTGCCTGCCCCAGTGCACTTCCCCGGTTTGTTTTCTAGTCCTGCCTCTCTGAGGTGTGTCAGCAGCTCTGATACCAAGGTACACCGATATTGCTGCAAACGATACCAGCCTGCTTGCAGAATCTGTGTTCCCATTGATTTAATTATTCCCATTAAAGTCAGAGATGAAACTGTTGGTGTTTGAGGGTTTGGAGAGGGAGATAACATGGTCTGAAGGCTTGAGGTGATCTCAAGGCTTGGGGCGGGGCGGAGGCGAAAAATGGGCTGCCTGACGGCTTTGGTAATGAGCTTGTAATGGAGAGCACGGAGGAGATTTGTTATAGTGCATCCCACTGGGCATCCACTGTAGTGAGACCAGAAATTCCTTTTCCAGGAGTTAGGATTTCTCTTTTATGATAAGCAGCACTTCTGAAAGAAGTTATTGACTTCTGGTGAAAGATTGATTATTTGAGTTGATTGATTTATAACAAGAAAGAGGAGGATTGGGACTGGGGGCAGGTGTAGGCAAGAAAGAGAGCCTGCACCCTCATTTTATTTATTTATTTATTTATTTATTTATTTTGTGCTCAGTGGGGGATGCCTTCAGGGTGCACACACCAAGTGAAGAAATGAGTGAGTACAAAACACCTCTGTGGAGAGCAGCCCCTGTTAGGAAGAGGTGCAATGTCTTAGATGAAAATAGTGTGGAGATGGAAGGCCTCTTCCAAGTTCAGTTGCATCAGGCTGACAAGATTCCCCTGCCATTTCCTCTGTTGGGGAATCGGAGGCGGCAGTCCCAGTGGAGCAATCCTCTGTTCCACAGAGCCTGGTGCAACCAAGCTGGGTGGTGAGGGTAGCAGCATCTCCAGGGCAGATATCCAGGGAAGGAGCAAGGAATGTCAATCCCTCTGTCAGCACGCACAGGGCAGGACGTTCTTCAGCACCTCTTGGCACAGACAGGCAGGGGCATGGCCATCCTGCGTGCAGGGCTGGCTCCGTGTCAGCCCCAGCTGGTGGAGGCAGCCCTACCTGCCTTGCGCTGCTCATGCAGGGACTATGGCCCAGAGACCGGTTTGGCATGTCTTGCAAGTCTCGGCTGGGCAAGATCCATGCCCTTGGGATCTGGCACTCTTGCTGAGTTCTGGAGAGGCCTCTGAAGTGGTGGGTATGTGGGATCCATGGCGTATGCCGCTCCTCGTGCTGCTTGCCTTTGCTATCACCTCAGGGCAGGAGAATAGGGCTGCCTTAGGCCTGGGGATCATCCCGCTAATGGTTGTCACCAATGCTCTGCTGCTGCATTCTTGCTTCAGCCTGACCCTGTTGCCCTTCACAGCTAGGAGAAATCTCCAGCAAATTAACACGAGAGCTGCTGGGGTCCCTTCTGCAAAGGAACTGAAATGCACAATGAAATTGAGTCCATTGCAGCGCTTCATACACATCCCTGAAGCAGAGGACTGGGTTGGGCTGAATTACACACTGCCCTTCACAGATTCCTGATGAGGTTATATTCCAGTCTCGACAAGAAGCCTCCTGGAAACTCTTCAGTCACGGCACCAGCTAACCTGGATGGTTAGGTGGTCAGAGCCCAGCTCTAACCCTCTCCTGAGCGTATGCTGGAGACAGTGTTTGTCAGCTGTCCTTCCAAACAGCCATGTGGCAGGGACCAAAAGCTTGGATGTGAGCTGAAATCAGGAGCTGATGCTGCAGTGATGCTGTCTAGTGGAGCAGTAGTGACAGCTCATGCCAAATGACTGAGGCTCCTTCTCGGCAGAAGTGGCTTTAGCATGTCCCTCTCTGCTGACCACGGTATTCCCGGTGCACTTCTCTATCACCCAGTGAAGCCAGCCCATGGAACCAGAGAAAATGGTCTACAGAAGATGTGGTTTGTGGGCAGAAGTGATGTAAGACCTTCTCTTCTTTAATTTGCATACGCCTCAAGGCAGTGGAAGAGGTGTGGATGGGTAAGGGCAGTTTCTATGTACACGTCTCATACTATTAACTTTCACCAATTCTTCCAAATGTTGGCTACTTTTCCAGGCCTGAAAGTCTGTGCTAAGTTCCTGGGACTAAATTGTGGCCCTGTAGCCATGATGCTCCATTCTTCTCCTACTACCTTCTATTCTGGTTCAAAGCAGTGCAAAACTGGATGCGAGAGCACTGCCATGCTCCTGGTGCCTGTTTCACTTCATGTGAGCTTCAGAGAGAACAAGCCAACAGCCAGAAGAGCTGCTCCAGGCCTGTCACGGGGAAGGAGATTCATTCTGATTATTTAGCAGGAGCACTAATGTGAAATCAATAGGGTCTCACTTGGAAAGTGTCTTGTAGATAGGACTAATGAGTTTCCCATTGGAGTGTTGGCCAAGAATGACTCTTTCCTATGCCAAACTTGAACCACACAGTTTCCCCTTGATGAGGAAAAATAGTATTTCTTGTCTTTAACATGAAGTTATCAGGACACTTAAACATTAAATACAAATGAATCGTCCCAATAGTCCTGTTGAAGGAAGAGTGATATTACCTTTTTCTTTTATACAGATGTGAACCTTGAGATTAAATGACTTGCCTGTTTCACTTTCAGAGCTGGGTACAGATAAAAGTCCCAATACAGTCTTTTAATTGAGAGGTCTTGATATAACCAGTCAGCCTTGTACTCACCGATCTGCTGCATGCTTCTTTTCTTTGACATCCTGTCCCTAACACGGGAAGTAAAACACCCATCCAGTTTTATGGTGAAAGTATCATCTGTGAGCAGAGAGCAGTGATAGGTTTAGGGATCCTTCTTTTCCGGTTGTGGGTATGCCTGCATGCTCCAAAGGCAGTGCTAAGCACAAGCAGTGGGCAGCCTGTAGGAGACGTCTGTGTTGCCGGGGAGGGTGAGGTTCCAGGGCAGGCATGACATTGTCCGGCTGCGGGAAGAGGACAGGGAGCTCAGGCTGTGCATTAACATGCAGAGGTTGCTATCTTAACACAGAGGCAAGCAAGCTGCAGGTGGACCTTGTGCTGCTTTGCCGGGGGTACGATGAGCAGGGTGCTGTGCCCTGGCTGGGGTGAATGGGCTGGGGGGGTGCATATGGGGTTGTGTCCTTCACCTTTCTACTGCCGCCTCCTAGCAGTACCATTTGTTGCTCTGAGGGCTCCCAGTTTAGGGATAAAGGTATAGTTGTGAACCTGTGCAGCTCCACAGCTTTCTACCTGAACCACAGCCAAGTCCAGTGCTTCCAGGGGTGCAGGTTAGCGCACCTTTACAACAATGTGTTGTGCTGTTCCATTCATAAGCAGTAAAAAGCCATGTATCTGCATATCCATCAAACTTTGGAGTGCTTTGCTCTGCAAAGCTCTGAAAAGCACTCTAGTAAGAAATATTCCTTATGCTCAAGGGAGTGCCTGCTATTTGCATAGGAATGCCTCTTTTTTTCCCTGTCTGGGCCTACTAGATACATTTTTACTGCCTTGTGCTCAAGTGTCCTTACTGCCCAGAACAACAGAATTTGAATGTGAGCCCAGTCTCCTTTATGCTTCTGGTTTTTCCTGCTTTGGAGTACCCATTAGCTTGCTCCAGCCTGCAGCCAGCATAAAAGTCAGCTCAGAAGCAATGTGGACAGAGTTAATGTGTCAGCATAGACGCAGCTATTTTTACCTGCCTGCAGCAATTCTGGACCTGCAAAACTCCTGGCAAGAATATTCTCTTATGGAGGAGGCTATTATCTCTCTTGGGACGAGAAGAACTTGGCTGCTTCTACTCTGGATAAGGTAATTATGGCTGAAGGCATATACTTTAAAATGCCTGGCCCAGAAAATGCCAAAATGGTTGTCTTTAGCCTTAGTGCTTTATAAACCTGTGCAGTATAAGAAGCAGAAATGTATTGCAGGTCTTCTGTTGTCTCATCCTGAAAAATATGTCTCAGTCATGTTTCAAATGGGGGCCTAGCATAGACAGTGGGATGATGGAGAGAGCAAGCAAGAACCAAACGAACAAATTCTTGTTAGTATAAGCTTTTGCCATGGTTTATGACATAAGCATCTTCAATATGATGTGTTTTCCTTCCATGCCACAGCACTTTTATCCTGGGGGAAGAATCCTAGAAAACTATCTTGGAAGTTTTTCTCTCTAATAGGGGCAAAATTATTTACATAGGGACACAGAAAGGATGGGAGAGACCTTTTTACATGTTTATCTAAACGGGAGAGAGAACGCATTGTTTCAAAGCACAGGCTGCATCCACAGGCTCAGGTGGATCCCTGTAAGATATTCTTGTGACTTACTTGCTATCAAGAGGCAGTGGGGCTGCACAGAACTTGCCGATGATGAATGACTCATCCTTCCTCCAAAATCGATTCTTGGAAAGATACTTCAGTGTCACGTTGTTTATCTGACAGAGGGGAACTCTGTGGGCCAGCAGTCGTTTGCCCATATCCTGGTGCTTAGGTCTGCAAGGTAGGGTGAGAGATGTGAGAAGGGAACATGCAATCAACCCACAGATACAGGCCGTATGCAGATGTGTTGAAATGCTGGAGGAACCTGGGGTATTATCATGAAGCCCTCGCATACTGAAACGGGGTGAGAAGACTCATCTGTCAAAACAGGGCATTGCACGAGAGTCTTATGGCGTGCTCTCTCCATGTTTTATCTCTAAAGTCAGGGAAACTTCTGTAAATATCCTTCTTTCTGTCACACAGTTACAACTCTTCTTGCATATAGATTGAAACACTGCTCGGATTGCTACAAAGAGGTAAGTGGTAGATAAGGTTAACATCTATGAAATCATGAACGGCACGGATAGGGATCGGTCGTTCATCATTTCTTCCAGTGCAGGAACTTCAGGGCATATCAAAGAAAGCCAACAGGTGGCAGGCTCAAAAAGATTGCACATTGCACAGAGTACCATTCCTTTTAAGCTATTAAAATCCTTGCTGTGGGATTCTGTGGGTGCTAGAAAGTTTACATGACTGTAGAAGTCATGGAGGGGGACTGGAAAAGTTCATGGAAGACAAAAGCATTAGGAGCTAATAAGGACAAAGACCTCACCTTTGGCTCTGAAAGTCCCTGAGACATAATTAGTCAGACACTGAGAAACTCTTTGCGGGAAGTATTGCTGCACGCTCATGCTGCCTTTTTCTATACTCTTCTCTAGGTATTTGCTTTTGAACATGATGAAGGTGGGATGCTTGGATAGAGGGATGTTTGTCTGTCCCTAATACTCTTACCCAGGTAGCATGAACTGAGAAATGCCAGAGCTTGGGTAAGCAGCCAATGACCAGAGCCCAGTCGGTTGTGCACTACGAAGGGGTGCTGCCCAGCCATTTTACATAGGTGGGCCACCTCCCACTGTCCCTCCAGTGGGCCTTCTTAATGCTTGATCTACTTGGCACCTCTAAGAGCCTGAGATCATTCATTTCCTCATGCTTGTGAAGAATATGTGTGTAGCTGACTCCGCTCAATCCCAGAACCATAGAAAAGGGTCAGGAAGAGCCTACAATTCTGCTAAGTTGCTCCTGGGAGCAGGCTGACAGCATCCTCCTATGCCAGAGTGGCCAACCCAAACCAGCACATGGCCAACCCAAACCATTACATCCCATCCCTCCCTTAGACTGCAGTGGTAGATCCTGGAGGTTTTCTGTGTCTGACTATGACTGTGTCTGGCTTGAAGCTACCAAAAATAGGAAGCGTCATGAAATTGTGGTTATAAAGGTGAATAATGGAAAATGGAGGGGAGGCTATCTCTCTACTGCATATTGTCCACGGGCAGGATCTAGCCCTGCCCTAGGACAGAGGAACACAATAAGGGTAAGAAGGTTGAAAAAAGTCACTGCTGGGGCTGACATTTGGTCTAACACCACAAAACTTTTGGGTGGATGTAGGACTCTTGGCTGGCTGCAGAAGTATTTTTTCTTGGATATGGGGGATGATGTCGTGTGATGTGTAAGCAACGGCAATGCATCTGGGAAGTGTGCTGTGTAACAAGCTCCTTATTCTGTCAGCCCCATGGTGGGGGGCTGTCTCTTGGAACACTTGAGCAACGTGGGGGGTAACTGCATCCCGAGGTGTGCGACTTGAATTGATGTTTGGGAGAGAAGAAGAGAAGGGCAATGTGAGGCAAGACACAGCCATGCAAGTCACTTGCTGAAGGTATGAGACTGTCCGAACACTCCCCAATTCCCTGTGTGCTTCTGGGGAGCTGCAGGATGACACACACGGCAGGTCACCTGAAGTAAGTGAATGATTGATCATTGTCTGAACTGCAATGTGAGAATGTACGTTTAGGTCCCCGTTTGACACTCTGGGCTTGACTGTGCTGGAGGGCTGAGCTTTGCCTAGAGAGAGGAAGTTTCTTTGCCGTAGCAAAGGCTACAGGGAGAATTAAAAGAGGTATCCTCAGTTTTATACTCTCAAATCTGTAGGTTTATTCCTGTAAGCAAATTTTTCAGTTTAGCCTTGTGCTTCTTAGGAGGGCACTTAAATGAAACACAGCTGCTGTCCTCCCGGGGTAAGGGTATCTCTGGGTAGGTTACCCTACTATAACTTGAGGGTACGGCAAAGCCTGGGGATTGCTTGCCTGTCTCACTTCCCCAGGCAGCCTTTCTCTTCAGTCCTCACATGCCTCCTGCGGGGCCCCTATCAACCCCTGTGTCCGACACTGCAAAGGGAAGCGCTGCATGCATTCCTGAGCACATCACGGGTCTGGCCTTGTCCTGAGTGTTTACGGTTTACCTCCTTCCTGCATCTTTGGAAAAGGCAGATTTGGCTTCCAAGCTGGGGTGGGGTTGAACAGTCTGAGCTCCACCAGGCTGGAGTATAAACTCCAAATTGCAATGCCTGGCTGGAAATCTGTGACCAAGCAGCTATGTCACGCTGGAGAGTACCATGGAGTGTGGCTTCCCCTTCCCTGGTTCTCACCTCTACCTTCTGGTGCCCAGGACTGAAGCAGCAACACAGTTAGCTTCAGGTCACAATGTTTTGGCTTAGCGGTAAGGACTGTGTGGCAGCCAGCTGGGGCTCTTTAGCAGGGTGTTTTCCTGCTTCCTGAGGCAGACAGCAGCATGTGCTATAGCTGCTTGTCTACGTTGCAGTTCTCAGCCCACAGCAGCGGGCAGGAAGGTGTAGGAAGAAGTGAGGAAGACGTCTTTTGGGGAATTTCTCTGTGGTGGGGAGATCCCCCTGAGGCAAGGGCTGTGGAACAGGAGCCTGAGTCTGGTTCTTAAATTCAGATATGGTTTGGAGGAGGGTGGTGCTTTCGAGAAGAGATCTGTCTGTCTACACATATGGTCTTGATCCCCTGCACCCTGGACTTTTCCCTACAATGGGAGCCCAAGAGCTTTGCTGCATTACTGCAGTGGCAGCAAGCAACTGAACACATTTCTGACTGTGCAGAGATGCATTTGTCTCCGCTTAGCAACTGCTGTCCTGTTGGGCATCAAGAGAAATATCTAAGCCACCAAGTCCATCAGTCTGGAACCTCTGGTGTATGGGGTCTTGCTGTAGCCATCTCTGTCTGGCAGAGTAGAGATAATAACTATCTGACTGTGATTGCAGTTTGAACTGGCACCAGGCAAGGGCATAGGGTAGAAAAGGAACCAGCATAGCAACATAAAAATATGCAAATCTGGGGATGTTGGAGTATACCTACTGCTTTGTGCATTCAGGGAAGAGGTGGACCTAGCCAGGGTTACCGAGTAATCGTAGCACATGCCTGATTCCTGAAAGCATTGAAGGTAAATGTGGAGGGACTCAAGAAGAAAGGTTGTGGTTCATCACACAGTGACTGCACTCAGGGAGATAACCTATCGTTGTGCCTTTCCTGGATTGGTATAAACATCCTTACACATGGAGCTGGGATAAAACAGGCCAGAAGCATGTACTGTCACTCACATGGTGATCTTCGCTGTGTCCTGGGTGCTGTTGCTGCAGAAGGTGATCTCAATGCTGGTGACTCTCTTTCTTTTCTTCTGCAAGTGGAACTCAACCAGGCTGTGATGGACTGAGCAAGAGGCAACACATGTGGGGAGTGAAAGCAGGTACTATCAGTTGGACCTACCCCTGCCAAAAGGTGGCCTCCAGCATTCATTCCCTGACCCCACGAGCAGAAAGATTACACAGTCATAAGAAAGAAACCAGTCTCTGTGGCACAGTGGGCAGGTCTGCATAGTCCTGTGCAAACAGACACGCATTTTCACTACCCTTTACTTCTGTCCTGAAGCCATCTGGCTGTCTTAATCCAGGCCTGCGCCCACACTTATAAAGCCATTGGAAAGGGCTTTACAGGGAAGATGTGCAGGGTTATTGCTCTTCAGCTTTGTGTCTCGGATCATCTGGGACACAGCAGCTGATTCTGATGGGGATGGTGGGTTGTAACTATCTGGCGTCCCCAGAGGACCTGCCTCATTTGGTCAGTGCCCTCCTGACTCATTTTTTCTCACTGCTACTTACCACAGAATGGGGCTGAGGGACTGGTCATTAAATAAACTTTCACTTCCTTTGGCAGCTTTCTCATGTTGACACCTGCCTGCTCCAGCAGGCCTGCAGGAGGAAATAAAGCCAGTGCAGTGAAAGCCATGAATGACCCAGAACAGAAGTACAATTGGTCCCGGTTCACCTCCACTCACCCTCCCCAACTCCGCTGTCTCAGAGGACAGACCCTTTTTTATACCCGTGCAAATCAGAGCAAGTACAGGTTTGTGGTGTCTGTTTGACAGGTTAACATTCCCTCAGAAAACCCATTCTGGCTACCCCCACTATTCATCATCAGAGTACCTCTTGGTGGGTTTGTTTTATTCCTCTGCTAACAAACTGTGTCATCAGTTGCATCTGTGCAAAATGAGCAAGACTAAAGACTACCAACTCAGGAAACTTAGTGAGGATGTAAATGACAATGCAAACACGAGGTGCTGGGAAACTGAATTTCTTGGTCAAGTGAGAAGACCACCATGACTTGAGGCCTGCATCACGGACTAGCTGACAACGTGGCTCGGTGAGATGGGGAAGGGGTGGCTGATCTGAGAGCACCTTATATTCCTCTGGTAGGAGACTGAAAACAGCACCAGCTTCCTCTTCTCATGCCACAACCCAGTTTCAGAAGCCTAGAAAAGGCAACTACTACCTTCTCCCGGTCCAGGGAGTTAATCTTTGGGGTGGCCATGGCAAGAATTTATGAGAAGGAGGTGACACAGCAACAGTGAGTGGTTTGTAGAAGAATGGGACTTCAGGCTTTGGCTAAAATGTCCAGCTGCTTATCTAAACAAGACACTTTTTGAGCTAATTGCCCACTTCTTAGGCAGGTGATGCTGGAGACTCTCTTTCAACACATTTGTGGGGCCTATGAAATCTTTGAAGATCAGAAATGTTCAAGATGTTTGTGTTCCACCTCATCAATATATGAGCTTTTAGAGCATCTCTATAGAAGCCTGAAAATGAAACAGCTTCTCACTATCCCCAAAGAGATCCAAAGCAAATCCTGCTCAGAGAAATCTGAACTGCGTACTGTGCTCTGCACTGACACCCATCAGGAATGTATTGTCATTTGCTCCAGGAAGGTCTCATGCTGGTACTGTACCTATTCTGGGACAGGAGAACAGGAAGGGATCAACACAGTCCAGGCAACGACCATTTAAAAAATCTTGATCACTTGCACAGGGGAATGCCATGATTGGACAGGAATGTTTCAAGGCACTGACATAGAGATGTACTGCCCTCATGTGATCACAGATCAGGTACTTGTAGCCTGCAAGAAAAAATACACCCAGAGAAAAGCAGCCGTGAGCCTTTCTGTTGGCTTCAGTCTTTTTGCATATTCCCAAGGAACTGAAGAGTCAAGAAACTCTCCTACTGATTCTGCAGTGACTCCCTTCCCATCAATAACATTTTGCAGAGCATCTCTGTGACTACAAGCCCAGATCCCACCACAAGAGAAGTTATGCAGGAAGTTAGAAGCACATCTCCCAGACTAACAGAACCTCTCAGAAGAGGGGGACCACAGGGCTGCCATCTCTTCATCAGCTTACCATCAATGAGGCCCCAAGCTCTCTGCAAGGGGGCACAAGAGCTTTGACTCCCACCTGCACTGGGACCCCAGCTATGGGAATTGAGGTACAACAGGTGTCCCCTGTAACCTGACCCTCAATGCAGCTAGCTCATCCAGAACTTATGTGAATATTTATCCATTCTATTTACAGTGTAAAGTCCTATTCTCTAGAAGGAAAGGGCAGCAATCATACAAGCTGTCTCTCTAAGTATAGACACAGCTTGCAGCACAAAAACAAAAAGCAGCTTTTGCTGGTAGTACCCAAGAGTCTTTCTAGCAAAAAATGTTTTCTTTGTTGATACAAACTCTACTGATGCTAGGGTTTTGGCTCATGCAGAAGTGTCACCAAAATCATGTCTCTTGACAGCAGTGCTGCCGAGACACTTGACCTGTGTGTGATTTTAATTTCAGCTGATTGTTGTACTGCTGAGAGATGTGGGCCATGAATCTCTGCTGCCATATGTCTTTGCAAATACATGTTGTCTCACTTTGATATCTGCCCTGACTGTAGCAGGAGCTGGTTGCCAAACAGCATTTTCACAGGCTGGTAAATGGCCATGAAACCCCCTTGCTTGGCTGCAGAGTGTTCTCACCTGAAGAGATAAATGAGGGGCATCCTGGCTGATCTTTGCCTCCATTGACGAAATAATCAATATGGCCTACAGGAATCTGGATCCCAAAATCTGAAAGGAGATGACATGTCACTTCAGTCTTGCAGTTGGCTCTTCTATAGGCTTTACGCTACATAGTGTATGACAGGCCCCAATAATTGGTTGCACATTAGTCATGCTGGACCCAGCTCCAGTGCTGGAGACAGCAAGGACAAATTTCGTGTTCCTACCTGCTTGCATTGTGTGCGTTTGCTGCATGGAGCAGAGAGTGCTCCAGGCCCTGCCATCAAAATGACTGGGAACTGCGGCTTAATCACCACCTCTGTGCCTCAGATTCTCATCTTCTTCATAGGTAGAGATTTTCATAATCTCCAGGCAAGAAGTGTGGCTCAAGGGCATGACATTGTTCTTCAGCAGATGTTCTGCATAGGTAGACCCTAAGTGCTTTAGAAAAGTTACTCGGTTGCTGCACCAGCTGTTGGTTTGACCCTGTTACTTTCCATTGGCACCTGCAGTGGCACCTTTCTTACATCAGGTGGGAAAAAGCACACTGAAACTAGACACGTAAATTCCTTCCAGGTGGTAAAAGCCATGCTGAGCTGGTTCTGCATAAACTTGCTCTGCGGTAGCAAGGTGAAGGAAGAAATATTTGCTGGAAGATTGCCCTCTGTCTAATCTCTACTTGTCTGTTCCTTGAGGTGCTCTGGGGTATGGGTACTTGCCAATGAATTCACCATTAAAGCCTATCTCATCAAGAAACTTCCTCAGAGTGAACCTCAACTCACGGTAATCTGGTAAAAGAGGGACAATGACCTACAGACTCCTTAGTAATAATGACTGCAGGAGGAAGAGAAGCATGGGCTGGAGAAGATGGAAGCCAGCTTACTGTCAGCATCGGTATGAATGGCTTCCACGAAGAGGGCATCCCCAGGATCCAGGCGTTCCTCAGGGCTGGCTCTGGTGTACTTAGGGCCTGCGGGATCTAGGCCTGTAACAAAATCAAACACTTCAACAAGTGCTCTTCGACCTCTCTCTTTCTTATTTCTGGACCAGTTATTTTATCCAAAACTTTAAAAACGTTGCTAGGCAGAAGTGATAAATTATTCCTAGGTCGCACTGATTATGCTCCAGAATGGTTTCTGCCCCCGCTAACTTCCACTACAGCTTCCTTACCTTGTTGTCCACTGTTCCACTCCCGTTTAGCAGTTTTGTACCTCAAGTTTCTAGGCTGTAAAGCCATGACTGAGCTTCAAATAGGTCTGACAGAGTGGGTACAGAGCATCTTTTGGATTTTCGGTGAAAGAGAATCAAACTCATAACACCTTCCCTAATTGTACTGCCATCTGTATTAGCACTACAGTCTGAGAAATGTCACCGAAGATCATCAGTTAGGTGATGAATTCAGCATCCCAGGCTGATCCAAACCAATCCAAACATTACAAAGATTTGATACTATCAAACATCCTTAAATCATAAAGGCTTCTGAGCCCTCTCCTCACAAATAAAATTGAGTCCTTAAGCAGCCATCTACGTTTTTGCCTAAAACATGCTCCTAGAGCAATTTCTGGGGAGTCAAAGGAATACAGGAAATGATCCTTGGCAATACCAAGGAACAAGTTAAAGACCTTTTTTCTTTTTTTTTTGTTCTTGCTGAGGCTTATCCTGTTTACCTTTTGTAGAAAAGTAATCTCACAAGATTTTTTTAACTTCCCAGGCAACAACAATAGTTTAAGAAGCATCTCTGCTCCACTTGCCACTTAGCCTCAGAGCTGGCAAGTTTCACTGCCTTGGACTCAATCCCATTAATTCTCTACGGAGAAGGCAGTATCAACAATAAGCAGATAGGTCTGCACTTGGGGGTGGGGTGTGAGGGGAAGGAGGAAAAGGAAAAGAAGGGGAAAAAAATCTTCCCTTTTATGTAAATAAAAGCTAATAATGGGACAAGTGGTCAGAAGAATTTACTGCTTTAATTTTTCTCCCGTGTTCTTTGATCTTGACACATACAAAAAGCTGAGAGGTTCCCCACCCACTTCTACAGAACAAGTTTTAGTTAAAGGTTTTAAGAGGTACTGAAAAGTCTGCTCCGATCTCCAAGACTCACTGTGGTTTTGCTCCACAGCTCTTTTCCGGTGACTGAAAACACTTCACCAAGTTACGGCTCTGGGAATCGCGTTCCTCTGTGTGTGTATGCATGTGTGTGAGGAGGCAGGAGCTGAGATCAGACATATCTTGGGTCTAATTCCACCTGTCTTCATGCTCCTAAATCTGAACTGGAACCTGCAGGGCCCAGTGTACCTATGAAATCATAGGACAATCAGGAGTGTAGAAAAAAAGTAATGGAATAAATAAACCTACAGAGCTTTATTACATGTAGACAGCATCAAGGGGAAGAGTCTCTGACTCTAAAGTTAATTACTATGGTTTCCTGGGAAAATGTCTGCTTCTGCTCATCTGAAGATATTGCTGATCATAAAATCCTGGTGCAGGAGAGTGGTTACTCCAAGTCCCTCCCAATATAAATTTTGATGCACAGCGTAAAAAAGGGCCCAGCGTGCAACTCAGCTCCTGTTAAGAAATGCCTGTATTTCATGCAGTGTGGGTAGCTGTGACATGTGAAGGCTGAACCAACATTTCTCTGGACTGCCTCACTGAGTGTGCAGTGAGACCCTCCTTGAGGATACCTCTCTCAGACAAACCAGCATGGGCTGAGGCAGACTGGGAGCTGTGGTCGCTCTTCTGGAGTCCTTATGTCTGTTCCTTCTTGGTGGCTTTTTCCCTGCATTTCCATCCCTGAGGATTCCCAGAACTTGACAAGACTCGAGACGACCTGATGTGACTTAGAAGGCAGACGTGCTTGGGGGGCAGGGCGGGACAGACAATCATGACTAGAGACCTTCCAAGGTCCCTTCTTACCTAAATCATTCTGTGACTCTATTCACACTCCATAACTAAAGGCTGACAAGGCCCTGAGTGAACCAAAAAGCTCTAAATGCCATGATCAGCCTCTAACCATCTTCCTCTGTAATTCCCCCACTGCAACCTCTTCCTCACACCCAGGAGTCTGGCTCTCAGTGTTTAAGGTCAGCTCTGATTTGGTACAACTGGGTGGCCTTGGACCAGCCTACTGTGAAAACAGCTGACTTGTGGGAGAGAATAGCAAGAAGCCTCATCTGGGGCCTCCCAACATTGACTCAGGCTCTTGCCTTTGGTCCTTGCCTGAGCTGTGTTGTAGGGATGCCATGCCCAGCCCTGTGTCTTGCTGGTCCTACTTTTATCTTGCTGACTTGACTTCCTGGCCCGACCTTGGGCTTGCCTCATCACTACAGACCTGCCTGGTGATCACTGGACTGTGGATGACCCTGGTTCCTGTCACTGGACCTGCTCTGCTCTTCTTGCCCAGATGTGGTAGGACTGTGCCCCTCATCAGTGAGGCCACTGCCCCTGCCTACCTTGCTGTCCCCTTGGCTCTCAGCTCACACTTTCCTGCAGAACAGCTCCATCTTGCTGCCCCCCGCCCCCCAACAACATGCATTGCAGGCTTTAATTTTAAGAACCACAGAGGTAGACATGCTATAAAGTGGAAGCAAAGCATGTGGGTGTTGTGGGTTTTCATTAGTCACAAGGTCTCGTATTCTTTTAAGCTGGCTCCAATTTGAAGAGCAGAGGCAAAAGGAGCCTTTTGCAAATGCATTCCTTTGGCGGTGTGGACTGATGGCTGGAAAGGCATTGTCAGGCTCTTCTGAAGCTAGGAAGAAGCCCATAAGCTTGGATCTAATGAGACCTTATGTGATTAAAAGACCACCGTGGATGACTCCCCTTCCTTGCTCTTTCATTCTCTTCCTTGAAGAGCAAGGGAGGACACAAGACTCAGTTTTATGATACCTGTTATCCGTCCCAGCTGACCACCATGGAATTGCCCCACCAGGCCCCCGACATGTGCACCGAGGCTCACCCCAATGATGTGGATGGATGTCGCTGAGACTCCCAGGGCCTGCAGATTGATGATAATACAAATTAATGTTTCTGTAGCAGAAAGGTAAAATACCCTGTCCCAGCCCACACAGCAGTTCTGTAACTCTTCTAATATAGGATTGCATTTGAGGTGTATGGTGGAGAAGCAAATAGATGTGGGAATGATGGGTATTGCTCTTTCTGTTTTTCCAGAGTCTTTCTTCAGGTTCACAGATACAAACCCAACCCTAACCAGGTCAGTCAGATGCTCCTGTTCATAACTACATAGCTTGTAGCTCCTCGTTCCACAGCTTGCTTCAGACTGAATTTCCCTCTTTCAGCTGAGTGACCCATGTTCTCCATGCGAATAATCTTTTTTACAGTAAAGCAGAGGAAATGTTTTTTCACTTTCATACCACCATTGCACCAATATCCTGATTAGTATTTTGAGATTATATTTTCAGAGATTAAGGATTTATCCATGGGCTGAACTGCCAGGTAATACACAGCCGCTTAGCTCCCCATCCACAGGAATTCAGCTGCCTGCTGACTGGTCTGCATGATGCAGATACAGTGGGAGAGCACATGGTGTACGAGAGCGTGGGGGCAAGATGAAAAATCCTGACTTTGAAATGTATGAGGCCGTATCTGTACTGAAGCTTATAAGAAGACAATATAGTCTTCTGTGGTGTAGTGTTACAGGAGAAGCTGGACAGCAAAAGCCCTTAAGTAGCTGGACTAGAGCTCAGCACAGACACGGCATGAGCTGTGGGACCATTGTTCAGCTCAGTCCTAGTGACCTAAGCAGTAATGAGGGGTGACAGTTCTCTCCCCCTCCACTCCATCCCCATCTTTCTAATGACACAACAGCTCCAAGGGTTGCCGAATTTTTGGGTAGAAACATGTGACTGTGTACAATGTGATGCATGCCCAGGAACTCCCATGTGGTGCAGCCTGGGTCTGCACCGCAAATGTTGCATGGAGAGTTTATGCATAGCTGGTTAACACAAAGATGTATCGCCCTCATTGTGGAAGTGTTGTGTTCAGCTGTGCTGTGCATGAATGAACGGGGACACATCTGGGGATTTCCAGCTATAGGAAGTATATCTGAAGCCCAAAGCAAATATAAAATAGCCTCAGATTGCACCCCTGCAGCTCCCTGGACAAATCTTCCAGGCAGAAGACGACAACTGTCCAGTGAAGCATGGACCTGAGAAAACCCAAGGCATCTTTCGGGTTTGTCCTGGGCTGGAGAGGCAACTGACAACTGGGATGTTTTTCCAGAAAATGTAAAAAATCAGGAAGAGAAAGAAGAAAAAACAGTGGCATGCTCACGCCTGGACTGAGAGACTGGAAAAAAGGAAATCTCTTTAGTGCTACACAGCACTCACGCTGGAATAAAGAGCCTGCTTGTCCAGCTCCTGAAGGCAGCAGGCTGGGAGCAGTTCTCTGGATTGTTTGCATGAATGATGTTCTTTGGCCATGCTTTCCCCCCACTGGAAATGCACAGTAGCTTACCAGGAGCTTGCTGATGAATTGTGAGATGGAGAGGGCCAGCTGTGTGACATTTTCCACTGCGGATGGATAGGCTCCTGTGGACCCATAAACCCAGTCTACTGCAATCACGTTCACCTGGCTTGTGTGCAGTATAGCATGGACAAGACCTTCAATCCAGGAAGGTTTGGTACCCAACGCCCTGTGGAGTCACCAGAAACAAGTATGTTATGTGTCTTCCAAAGTAGGGCACAAGCCAATATCTTGTTCACGGGTGCTGGAGCTTCACATGTCTCAGAGGAGATTGCCAGACAGTTGCTGAAAGTTTTTTCTGGTGCCAGACACCCACACCTGGCATGTCTTTGTGGTGGTGTAATAACACTTTCCAGAATGGGCTGATTCAGAAGGGAACCACATATTTTAATGAATGAGGTAACATTCACAGGGCTGAGACCTCTGTCTTGCTGTGGTGCTTCAGTTAGCCACCACAGAGCCCATCCGGAGTGAGCGAGCTGACGGGGAACACCTGGATCCTGCTCTGCTACCAACTGGCAGGAAGTTCTTGGTCAGATCACCTAGTCTTTCACTACTCTATTTCCTGAACTGTAGACAATTAGAAAAGAAATTCTATACCCAAGAATTCAAGGAAAATTGAGGTGGCTGTCCTACCCACTTCTACTATGACCTGGTGGGGGGCTGTGCTATGTCACATATGAGGGCAACAGCTGGTTTTCTGAAAAGACCCTGAAACATTTTATGTGGTTTCATCCTGGTCTTCTATGTACTTTCCATTCAGGCTTTTGCACATCAAAACAATATAATGTTATGTGCTCACACCTGGCTTAAAAAAATAGCACAGTAAAATAAGCTTGCAGAATGGTGACAGCTTAAAAAGCCCCATGTCCTGGTTTCAGCTGGGACAGAGTTAATTTTCTTCCTAGTGGCTGGCATAATGCTGTGTTTTAGATTTAGTATGACAAGAATGTTGCTAACACACTGATGTTTTAGTTGTTGCTGAGCAGTGCTTACCCTAGTCAAGGACTTTTCAGCTTCCTGTGCTCTGTCAGGTGCACAAGAATTGGGAGGGGACACAGCTGGGACAGCTGACCCCAATTGACCAAAGGGCTATTCGACACCATATGATGTCATGCTCAGTATATAAACAGGGGGAAGAAGGAGGAAGGGAGGGATATTTGGGGTGATGGTGTTTGTCTTCCCAAGTAGTCATTATGTGTGATGGAGTGCTGCTTTCTTGGAGATGGCTGAATGCCTGCCTGCCCGCCCATGGGAGGTATGAATAAATTCCGGGCTCAGTTGCCACCTGGGGTTAAACCACAACACCTCAGCTCAAATGCCTAAAATTTCAAGACTAGAAGCATAATGTGTCTGACAGGGCTTCTAAATGGGTAACTAATCCAGGCTGTTGATAAATCAGGACATGAGCTCCAAGGAGACTATTTAAAGGGACAAGAATCTTCAAGAAAAGATTTCTTAAATAAAAAGGTTGAAAGAAGGAAAGAAAAGGAAAGAGGTAAAGGAGGAGAGAGTGAGAGAATGACTAGGAGAGCAAGAAAGAGAAAGAAAGATTGTAATTTCCTAACTTTTTTAGGCTCAAAAAAATGTGGAACGTACAAAATAGGCAGGACTTCAAGTTGTGTCATAATGAGGGTTGTCAGCAGTGTTTTCCATGCCTCTGGCCCTGGCCCACCAAGCATCTTCCAGACAATTCCCAGGTCTGGTTTGGAGCCGAGCACTCCAGACTCTGTGCTTAGCAGGCATTGTGCATGCAGCCACTCTGCTGGGGAGACTAAGAAGGCTACAGGAGCAGGGGGTTTCAGTGCCAGCCCCACCCAGTGCTTGGGAATATCCCAGTAGTGTTTAATTTACCAGTAAAAACTTAGTCAACAGTGTTCTTTCTCTCACCTGAAACCATGGATTATGATCTTGGTTTCCAGGCTGCTGTTGAAGCTAGAGTTCTTAATGCCATCATCTGCTAAAATCAGCTTGCCACAGTTGGGGCTTGAAGAGGTGAATAGAAGAAACTGGACCTTAAGCTTACTGCCCCGTAGGAAATTTGCTGTCTGGAAGTCAGTGCAGTGATGTCCTGAGAGTCTGTCTGTATTCCCTGCAATGAGAGGGGGTGAACAGTGTATTCAGACTGCTTCTGTGCAATGGGAAAAAAAGAATTATTCCAATTCATTAGGAAAATGAAGGTAGCAATTTTTCTTCTATTGATAAAAAGAACATTAAATTAAAATAGGGCTATTCTGTAAACTTTATCTGCCTGATAAAGTTATTTCTGTCCTTTGATGGAATTGCAGCACTGGCTGGGGAAGATAACTGTGGATGTCATGGTAGCTTTGACTTCTGAGAGTTTTATTGAGATGTGAATGACAAATCTGTTGGGCTGGGGTTTTTTCCAAATTGGCCACACATGCCAGCAACTAAGTACATTATTCAGCTGGCTATTAGATCTTTAAAAAAAATGGTTGCCAACAGGTAGTCACCACTGAATGGGGATATTTCTATTCAAATTCTGGTAAGCGTAGTAGAAGATACAAGTCTAACTGACTGACAAGTGTATCAGAAATCCAGAAATAAGTGTGAGAATGCTGATGACAGAATATGAGAATGCTGATGACAAAATGTGTCAGTGATTATTTCCTGATTGATTCATTTACTGGATGAAAATACTTTATGGCCTAAGGCAGCTACTGGAAGGCACTTTCTAGATGGCAAAAAAAAAATCTCAAATCTGTAGCTACTAAAAAACTGAGCAAATGTATGCTTGCTTTCTAGCCTAGAAATTTAGCAGTATGTATGGCTAGCAGCATTTGTAGCTAGGTTGCCCACAGAAGAGCTGGATTCTTCCTCTTTTGTCATTTCAGATGACTGGCTGCTATTTTGAAAGGGTTGTTGAAGGTAAATTGTTGGATTTACTAAAGGACTGAGGGTGAAACTTATTAACCTGTGATGCACAGGAAGCCAAATAATTGATTAAATGATCCCATCTGCTCTAAAAAATGTTACTTTATGAACTGGCATAGTTGCATCCTGCTGCAATGACAATGCCTGCAACGACAATGCATGCACCTTCCTTTTCTGGACTGGAGGAAGTGAAACAGCCTCAAATCTGCATGTACAATAAAATAAAAATTAAATAAATTTTAAAGACTGAAAGAACCAGCTTCCTAACTGCTAGCTGTTCCCATAGAAGATACTTTACAGTAGGTAGGCAGAACATGGCCTAAGGGTCAGCACAAAGAAGTGATTCAACATTCAGATTTGCCCTTGTGGGATGTGACTGTCCCTTACTGCTGTTTATTTTGGTCTTCCTGTGTACTGAAGGCAAGAGAGGGAGAGGCGTTCTCTGCGATCAGTTTGGGAAAACCACAGCTCATGAGCCAGCCTAACTAGCAAGGGCAGGTTTAGTGCAAGCACAGTGCATGGCAGAAATGGTGTAAGATGAGGGGGATCCTGAGTAAAGGTAAGGCAGGAGGTGCAGTGCTGTGAAGCTGCAGGTGATGTGGGACTGTAATGGTGGTCACAAAAGCAGTTTCATTGACAGTACAATTAAAGAAAGAAACGGAAGTGTGGCATCTGTTTATTTTCTCTCAGCTACTGCAGATTACACTTGCTAAGCTTTCAAAGCAGGAGAGGCTGGTGCCAGAGGTCAAGTGGTTCCTTGCCTGCTTCCTTACACTTCAGGGTAAACCTGGATCATTCTTTTAAATCAGGTTAGTGGAATTAAATCACTGAGACTGACTGAATTAAAGTGTGGGAGAAGAAAGGACCATTCTTGCGCTACCCTTTCTCCTGGCACCTAACTAGATTATAGCAAGCACCTCTTGACACACAGGTCGTTTAGGGAGAATTGAATTCAGACCCTTCTATGCAAAACCTTCAATCCCTTGCCAGGCACTCATGTTTTTCTTACCTGTTTGTGCTGAGCTGAGCAGTAAGAAGACAGCAAGAACAATGAGCATCTTTCTCTTCGGATCCTCAATCATCATCCTTTTAGTCCACTACAAGTACAAGGATTGTACAGGGAAAAACAGCCGTGGTGAGTTGCTTGATCAGCTTGACTGTTAATGATCAACCAGACTGTGCTCTTTTGGGGAAAAAAGGGCAGGGGCAATCACCTCTGCTCTTATTTAACCATTAGCCAAAGTCTGTGTCAGGGAAGAATTTCCCTGACACCTTGGTTGAAAAACATACTGACGCCCCTTTCCTCCCTACCTCCCTTTCCTCAAGACAAACTTATCTCTTCAGAAATCAGCTAGTGAAACCAGTCCCAGCAAGCAACAGAGTTACAGTGCTTTATCCTTGCCACCTAGACCTGTCTGCCAAATTCTGACTGGGTATACTTATATGTCACAAAGCTTCACAGTAAGTCCATGCCAGGAAGATTCATATCAGCCTTGCATCTGTGTATTTTCCTATTGCACTGCTGTCTCTTTCCTCTATTTCTGTTTTTGGTCAGATTCTTGTAAGTGGCAAAGCAACAGATTGCTTCTGAAACTGGGGGGGGGAAAGATAGGCTAAAAATGTATTGGCTATACAGTGGCCATGTTACTGTGATACACCCAGACCATACATTTCTTATAGCAAGGGCGCTCTTCCTTTGCAGACTGTGTTTCAGATGCTACAGGCAATAAAAGGATGATGTCAGAAATATACCAGTGTCATAAGCGTGCAAACAGATCTTTGAATAAGAAACTTTACTGCTTTGGTGTAAACGGATGGAAAAGCATAAGAACACAATCAGACACGTATAGTATCATAGAATGTTTTGGGTTGGAAGGGACCCCTAGAGGCCATCTAGTCCAATCCCCCTGCTATGAGCAGGGACACTGCTAACTAGATCAGGTTGCTCAGAGCCCCATCCAACGTGGCCTTGAATACTTCCAGGGATGGGGCCTCCACTACCTCCCTGGGCAACCTGTTCCAGTGTTTCACCACCCTCATTGTAAAGAATTTCTTCCTTATATCCAGTCTAAACCTACCCTGTTTTAATTTAAAACCATTACCCCTTGTCCTGTCACAGCTGGCTCTACTAAAAAGATTTTCCCCATCTTTCCTATAGGTCTCCTTTAAGTACTGAAAGGCTGCAATCAGGTCTCCCGGCAGCCTTCTCTTCTCCAGGCTGAACAAGCCCAACTCTCTCAGCCTGTCCTCATAGGAGAGGTGCTCCAGCCCTTGGATCATTTTTGTAGCCCTCCTCTGGACCCGCTCCAACATTTCCATGTCCTTCTTGTGCTGAGGGCTCCAGAGCTGGATGCAGTACCCTAGGTGAGGTCTCACCAGAGCAGAGTAGAGGGGCAGAATCACCTACCTTGACCCGCTGGCCACGCTTCTCCTGATGCAGCCCAGGGTACAGTTGGCATATCTAAGAGTCTGTCACTCAACACTCATGATGTGGTGGTACCGTCTTCCTGGCTGCGTTAGACTTTCAGGTAAGGGCACGCCTGTTTCCTAAGTCTCACTGGTGTGTGTTGGTCCTTGCAGAAGAACAAGGCAGCTTTGCCCTTGACTGTCTTAAATGGTAAGAAGTGTGAGGAGCGAAGGAGTGTTCCCTGTCCAGGTACTACTCTGCAGCTGCTTTATTTGAACAACAAAATGAAGTAATTGCTCCAATCTGATCAGAAAGATGACTACATACTTTTCCAAAAGCATCAGACATTATTTTCTTTTACAGTTATTGGCAATAGCAGTCATCTCCTTACCCCAGTTTGCTCCAGCCAAAGGTTTTGAGACTGTTTTAGGCAGAAGGTATTTTTTATTTTCAAGTCACTCCTGAGAGAAATTTCTCCAGTTCTCACATGGAAGTTGAGCAGCATCAGCTTCCTGGCCTGGAGGGTTGCTGAAGCCCTGCCCCATCTGCATCCTCCCAGAGACACGTATACATTCTGATCCCAAAATACTTGGCACCACGATCAAGCTGGCTTATTGTCAGAGAAGTAGGTTCTTAGCGTCCCTTCAAATCTGCGATTGAGTTTGTCAACCCAATCAATTTTCCAAGATTGAATGCTGCAATACAAACAGCCAAGTCCTGGCTTCCAGCCCACTCTTCATCTTTCCAACCCCAGCACTAGACTCAGGCTGATTCACGGACTGTGAGACAAAAGCCCATAGGTGGCAACAGGCCCACTCTTTCACTACACCCACAAATTCCACTGATCTGGAAAATTTTGCAATCAGGAAAGAATGAAATAAACTTGCACAATCATACCAATAGGCAGTGTCATTTCCATACAAGCCTCCAGAGCAACAGTCTAATTGTGAAAATGACAAATTTCTTAGACTAAAACAAATTGGAGCACCTAACCACTGAACACTTCTTTACATTTTTTTTGTATTTTAAAATACAGTAATAAGCTCTACTCTTTGTAGTAGGATGCAACTGTTACTCTTGGCCAACTTCTGCTGAAATTCTGAAATGCCCTGCAATAGAAGGCAGGCACCAGTATTACAGCCTTAGGATAAAACAAACCTGTGGCCAAGATGTGCAGATCTGATTTAGTTTTGTGCTGCTATTTGCAGTTGTTAAACAACATCCTGGTATGCTTTAAAAAAAAAAACAAACAAAAAACCCTACTTCCTGAAATTGAAAATTCTGTTTCTTGAGCAGCTTTTTTTCCTGTAATCTCAGGTTTAGTAATTCCAGGATTTTTTTGTGTTATATCAGCACACTGTGGTGGTCCCTCATGCAAACAGTGAAAGCCACTCAGTTCCTCTGTGCTTAAAATGCTTTTACCAGTAAAACTATTTTGGTATTGAATGGTTTTCTTTTTTTTGTTTGTGAACGTAACTGCTGAGTAACTACGGTTATATTAGTACAGAAACTTAGTGCTGCTGCCACTTACTTTACTTGCCAGTGGGAGTGTTCATAATGGCAATGGGAACACTGTTGCAAAGACTTTCAAACCACATTAGATGTAACGGTTCCTTACAGCATACGATCATGAAGCACAGTGTGATTCGCTTGAGTCAGGGACAATGAAAGCAAACAAATTTGATTTTCTGCACAAATTCTTTTCATTAAAAAAAATAGGGGGAAAAAGAAAATTGTGCTGTCTGCACATTCAAGCAAATACTTTAAGTGCCCAACTTGGCTGAGAATGTTGTCTCCCCACCCACAATCAACAGCTGGCAGTGGCATACCATCACTGCAAAGGCCCATTAGTCAAGTGGACATCTGATCAAAGGAAAATTCACTTAGGCTGGAAAACTGTTCATTGATGCCGAAAACAACGCAGTCGGGGTAGCAGTGCAGGACCTTGGGGGAAACCAAGTGTGAGTTAAGCAAATGACTATTTAAAACCACTCCTGTGGTCTTTGCATTCGAGGGAGGGCATGAAACACATGCAGATCTTAGCTCACTGTACATTAAGGCCTGGATCCACCCTACTGCTGGAATACTTGGTATCACAGCTCCCATATTTTCTGCCCTTTGCCCGTGGAGTAGAAACCACGGCTTTACATTAAGCACCTAGGCTCCTATGTATTGTTCACAGGACTGACAGAGGAACCCAGTTTAGTTAACACCTCAGCAAAAAGCAATTCAATCTCCTGACTCTCAGAAGAGTGTCCTAACTATGAGGTAGCAGGAAGAAAACATTAAAGGTTAACTTGGCAGCTGAGAAAGGGAAAACATAGGCAAGTCTGATAAGGTACTTGGGAAAGGAGAAAACCCAGTCATTTTCTTGAGTCTTTCATGAGTACTTTATGGACCTTCTACCTATTGTGACCATATAGAAGTGCACAGGAAGGAAGAATGCATCCTTGCCATGTATCCCTGTAGTCTCCCAAAACTAGAGGAGCCTGGGTGAGGGCTCCAGCCACCAGGCTCAAGTTTCTCTCTCATTTTCTCTGCCCTGTGGAAGCCCTAATCATTCTCTACAACATGGAGCAGCTTGGTAGGAAGAACTTAGCCCTGCTTTGAGTGCATGTGGGTGACCTCCTGTGGTTCCTTCCATCCTAAAATAATCTAAGTGAAAGTGTCAGCCCCTGCTTTAGATTTCTCTCTGCTAGCCCTGAAGATGTCACACCTACAGGAAAGTTGTAGCATGCAAGGTGGGAGGGGGCATCCTCCCAGCCACAAGTCTCTGACATCTTGGGAAGACATTTTACCTGACAAGAAGAGTAGTCAGCAGCAGAGAACAGCTGCTCCTGCCACCAGAATGTGGCAGGAAGATGACCACGTTACATTTCTGGTGTAAACACTGCGACTTGGAGCCTTTATAGGGTAGGGAGCTCCCTTCGACACTTGGGTGAGAACAGAGGGGAAAAGGGAACAGAGGGACAGAAAGGCTTGTTGTGGGTTTCTGTCACTGAGCAAAAGGAATTTATGGGATGGGCCTGACTCCATTTGGAAGCCAGTTACGTGCCACGTCATTCCAATGTAGCTATGGAGAACAGGTCAGTAGTATTCTGATTTTCTAAGAACTGAATGAGATGGGATTGCCCACCGTGAAGTGTCACTCTAGCTCATGCTCAGCCTGCAGTGATAAGGGAGCTTACAGCAGTTCCTAGAAGGAGGGAAAAACCCTACTCAGCATTGGAGCACCTTCAGTGTTGATTTTGGAAGGTCTTCTGGTTTAGAGACTTCCACGGTTGCTGATTTTCTTTTTTTTTTCCTTTCTCTGAACGACTATGGGCGCTGTGTTGAAGACAGGAGCTGAGGTTGCTCCAAGGAGGGGTGAATAGCCCGACACTGCCACTCAGCAGCAAGCACGTGGGCTGAGTGCTCTGGGAGAGAGCCAGATGGGGGCTGAACTTGCAGTGAGAGCCTTCCCATCCAGCACTCGCACTATGCTGGCCTCCCGGGGGCTGGCAGTTGAGCTCCTGGGAGGGAACTGAGCATGCTTTGAGGCTGTGAGGTCTGCAGCTGGACCCGCTGGCCAGCTGGATTCTTCCCAGCCAGGGTAACGCACTGCGAGTGGGATGCGGGCAAAGGAGGCTGACATCCACGCGCAGCAACTCACTGCCGTGGGAGGGAAGCTGGCCACTGGAGTACTTGGTAGAGTAGCAGTTTTTCCAATAGCTGCTGAGTATTTCTGTTTCCCAAACTAGTCTGGTACTTTCCTTTTCTTCCTCAAAGCCACGCTAGCGTCAAGAGGCCAGTCATCCACAAAAGGGAATTTAATTTTTAGTTTTGTGAATGGGCTGGTATCGAAGAAAACCCCGGGAAGTCAGAGCTGGTTTCTATTTTATTTTGTTCCTCCACTTTGGCAGAAGGGCTATCCTCATAGAGGCCAACCCAGCCTTGGCTGACGTGCGTGAGCATGGCCAGGCTTGGCCTTGAGCCCACCCCTCAAGCGGAGACAGCGCCACGTCTCCCCAAAGAGAACAGTGGGCATTTTGGGGTGCGGCAGCGTCAAAACACCAGGCTCCGGGAGTACGAGGTTTCGATGACCATCATTTTGGGAGGCGGCGAGCTGTGTGTTGCCCACTGAAATGTGTTCTCCCCCTAACCTGCGGGTCTCCGGTGAAATTACAACCGATGTAATTTCACCTTTTCAATCAGCAGAGCCGAAACTTCCCTGCTGGAAGAGCAACGCGACTATTTCTGCCCCCAAGCACCTGCTGGAGCTGCGCCCCATGAACCGAAAACCCCCTGCGCAGCGTCGCCTCGTACCCCAGCTCCTTTCTGGCGGCCGCAACCTACCCAAAACACACCGGAGGCGGCCGCGAAGTCAGAAATCCCCTTCCCGGCGGCCCGAAGTTTCCA